TTGATCATAGCGTGGACGGTGGATGGGGCCATTGGGTGGGTGGGGTGGGGGGCAAGTTCTACCGTGTTCTTGTCCCACATGGACCATTGGTAGTTGGCTAGTCGCCACACCAACATGGATCACTGCTAGTTTCGCAATCTACTCCATGTGGATGCATGATTGACATCACTACCAGAGAAATGGTCTTTAAGGCATCGTTCGCTTAGTTGATAAGCCATGGCTGAAAGTACCGTTAGCTGATTTATTGTGAGAGGAAAACACTATTCCAGCCTGAAAAGTACGGGTTATAAGACAAGCGAACATGGTAGTCTTTCAACCCTCTTAGTACCGGTTTGGAGAATTAGGACTAAAGGTCTTGATTTTTAGTCCCGACCGGTACCTACAACTGGGAGTAAAGGTGTTTATTAAGTAAAAAAGGTGGGGGTGTGGTGGAGATTCTAACTCGAGACCTTCCACCTTGGTCCTTGCGCATATTGCTATCTCAACTGTATCACACATCTAGCATAGACAAAATATGCTTTTCTTTTAAATTCACTCTGGAGCAGGGTTTAGAATTTCGGCCGGTTTTCACCGAAAACTGGTGATTTTCGTTCCTACCGGTGACCTCTGATAAATACACCTAATGGTAATTCCGATTCCATTTTGTCTAGTTTTCGAATTTCAGCAAAAATTTCACAAAGAATTGAAAATTTTGACCGAAGTTTTAGCCAAATTTCACCGATTTTCACGATTTTCATTTTTGTCCGTCCCCACTGATATTTATGGCTTGACCAGTAAGCTGAACTCTGCTATAGAGGTACCTTTAGTCCTGGTTGGAGACACACTTTTAATTTAGATCTGTGTCTCAAATCAAGATTAAAGCCCTCCTGCTCCGACACGTCTTAGTGACCGTTACAACCGGGACTAAAGGGTGGAATTAGTTTGGGTTTGCAATTTTATACCGAGACTAATTAAATACTTTTCGGCCATCGACGAAAGACCGTTTCTCTACTAGTGCATCTCTAACTCGCTCATGAATTGTTCTAAGCCCAAATAAAAACGTAGAATTTGATCACGGTGCAAACTAACCTTTGTATATTGTAGATCATCTTAGTTTTTAACCAATTGACCAACGTCGCACATAACATTTTACTCACACAACTGGTGGTGGCTAGTGCTGGGCGAAACTCCTGTTCTAAAAGAATCGATCAGAAATTGCAACACTTTAAAATAAAAGCGCGAAGGATTGTGCACGTTCCAATCAAAGAAAATTGGAGGAGGATAAGCGTGGTGCACCGTGAAAAGTAGCTGGGCAAGTACGTGCAGATATCGTTCTGTACTCCTCCCTAGCTCTTTGTTTTCTATGCAATTTGTTGCGCGTCTTTATTGATTCGTTCTCACATCTTGTCGGAATGCCTATATGTATATAGTCTATCCATTGCCTGATCGATCTTATCAAAGGCTTTCTCCTTTTTTAATCACCATCCCCCGCGAAGCTAAATTGATTGCATGTCACTGTGGCGCTGTTCTCATCAGTGAAGCTAAATCGTGTTGGTGATGTCACGCATGGCCAGTGTTTTATTACTCATAATTTTTTAATTCTTTGAAAATAGATGCTACTGTAATATTCTTGTTCAGTTGGTCTGAAATATTTTTGGTTTCATGTTTAGCTTTGCTCTGATAATTAGTGTTCCATATATAACCTGGACTTCCGTTTTTCATGGATACTAAGTATTCTTGTTCTATAGACTATATAACTCATGTTTGGTGGAAGCACCGGGAGCAAGAACATGGGTAGCTTACCTGTCAAGTCCAAGATACATAAATGGTGTTTTATTGGTTACCAATAACCGACACTGACACTGATCTGGTATTCGTTTTTGCGCTGTGGAGATATCAGCCAGATTATATAGCAAATTTGACAGTAATATGATACTAACAAATCACTTTCACAATTATTTTTTGTCGTCACTGAAATCATATTCAGTCCGAAACGTGTGCTAACACCGTTTGACATTAGGGGACCCTATAACATGCATGTGTTATTAGAAAAATGATTTTTGGATAGACATGTGTGAAAACTTAATTGATATAAAACCATCTCCTATTTTCATTTCTACATTTAAATTACAAGTGAATTATTAAATCCTTTTCGGCCAGTCTGGGCTAAAGAATAATCATCAGGGTTTGCTTTCAAAAGAAAAGCATCATCAGATTTTGGCATGACGGCCTGCTATTAGTAGTAGTAGATCTTCAACGCCTAGTAAAAGCTCCCTGCTATTAGTAGCATAGCAGATCTTCAGCGCCTAATAAATTGGAGCACTGCACGGCCAGGGCGTTCGCAAGGATTCGCCGCATAAACAGCCGAGCAGACGATGATGTAAAGGTATTCCGGTGCTTCAGAATAATATAAAGCTCAGGATTGTGCACCGCACATTGCTATATATATGCATGGACGCGGAAGGAATTTATGCTTACTGCAGGCTAAAAGGTCACACGAGAAGCTTTAAACATATATATGCATGAGTCGCTAATCATCGTCGTACCTGCCCTTTTGTAAACAACTTGCGTGGCTGAAAATGATTTGTTCTCACAAAGTCGCGTTATATCATGTCGGATTGCCAAAAGTTTACTTAAATTCTCGTTACTTATTGTTAAAACCAGTGCATTTCTGTCCAAAAAGGCATAGAACTAGTGTAACAAAATCGTGTTAATTGGTACAAGCTAAAATTAGCACTAATGGATTCAAACACCCTACTAATTTAGTATTACTCAGTTGCTTTTTAGAGGTGGCTGGGCCGCTTCAAATAAGCTATTTATAAAGACGGCTGGGATTTGCAGAGACTGGCTGGAAAAAATCAATTTATTGAGATGGCTCGAAACACAACCTCTCAATGAAACTTTATTGGAAATTATAAACCGTGCAAAAAAATCTAATTACTTTTTAATCCGGCAAGTCTGCCATCAAGCTGCCACACGTGAATTTTAGAGCGATATACGAGTGGATGCGGACGCGAGGTCTTGAACCTGCGGCATGACCTAAGGCCTCACGCATTCCTCTACTATTCACTTCACCCCAAAGTTACTTGTGACTAAAGGGCACAACATTACTAAAGGGCACAACATTCCCCTTGTATTCACTTTACTCGAGTTTGACATTAGTATTTGGAACCCTTGACGAATTCAAATGAAAAATGTTTTTCAACTACAAAGTTATAGATATTGTTGAGTTTCTCCATCCGAGGTCGTTTCAAAAATTTGAATTTCAAATGTGAGAAATTCAATCATAATTTTTCTTTGATAGATGATTTCAAATGAAAAGTTGGTAAATAAAAGTTATTTTTATCTCTACAAGCTCTACAACTTTAGTTTTTGCCATTTCTTCATCCGAGGTCGTTTGAAAATTTTGAATTTCATGATGTGAGGACTTCAAACTAAATTTTGAGACCTTAAATTATTTCACATAAATAAATCTCAACCGCAATGTTTTAGTTCTTTTTGTGATCTATAACTTTGATTTTGATTGTTTCTCTATCCAAGGTAGTTTAAAAAACTAAAAAAATTTGAATTTTAAAATATAAGAACTTCAAGAAGTTTTGAGATTTAAGTGATTTTAAATGAAAATGTTATCAACTATAAGTTGTAGATCTCTTCATGTTACACAACTTTGACTATAAGTTGTAGATCTCTTCATGTGACACAACTTTGATATGAAATTTGTCTTCATCCAACTTTATTTGAAAATGTATAAATTTTACTATACTGCACCTATTTCAGAGACGACTCTAGGTCTAGTCGTCCCTAGAAATAGATTTTTAGAGGTAACTTTAGATCCAACCCCCTGTAAAAGTTGAGTTTTAAATGCGGCTCATTTCGAAAACCATTTTTACCCAAAATACCCCGTGTCTTTACAAATTATTTTTGTGGTAGTGATTGTTCAACTAATAATAGTTTAAAATGAACTTTCTAGCTAATAAAAAGTTATTAACTAAGTTCTCCAAGCTAAGTACTACTAACTATTAGATGGAGAATCCATACGGGCTTCAACTTAGTAGGTTCACTAATAGCCTGTTAATAAAAAGCTATATAGCTTAGTTTCTTCAACTAGAACTAACTATTATATAAGCAACTAATAATGGATTTAAATAGGCTCTGACTCAAGCTTATATATATGCTATATATTGGGACTTGGAGACCATCTGACAATCAATTAATGATCTCTCTCTCTCTATATATATATATATATATATATATATATATATATATATATATATATATATATATATATATATATTTCAAAAAAGAGTAATGATATACCTACTGTCCAATCTATGAAAACCTGGTGCTTAGAACACGGTTTTAGCAAAAGTCTTAGAAATGTTATTAGGGGCCGGGTAACCTTTAAAGAAAATCATATTTGTCTCCAAATGTATTATACTCTCATAATAATATCATATAAATTCCATACTAATATTCCAATTAACACATTATAAATCGTGTGTTATATAAGAATTTTTCTCAAGACTTTCATAGTAATAATAAAAATATAAGATTTTATAATCATGTTCAACACGCCATGTATTTGTGATTGGAGGATGAGCTATTGTCCTGATCATATCACTCGACAGATCCTGGTTGTAGAAACTGGAATTGTATGTAAAAGTTACAGCCAGACCATATTAGTTGAGTCCACCTTAAGAGTGGGAAGTTCATAGGGGTGAGCACTGGCGGACCCAGGGCCCCCGCCCGGGCTCCAATGACGCCGTATACAGAGAAGTTATCACTTTGGGCCGTACCAGAAGGTTAGAAACACATAATCTTGTAGGCATGAGTTTTGCTCGGGCTATGTTTGAGTGCTACTGGGGTGAGTGTGCGTGCGTGTTGTGAGCGTCTGTACTGTGTAATTCTTAAAAAAAAAATCCAGTCATGTAGCATAATCGACTATAAAACTATTTTAATGATCGCAGCACACATTATTATATGATTATGGGATATGTGTTGAAGAGCATAATTTTTCTTACCTAAAACTGTCGCTTGGTGCAAGGTCAGTGTCACTATTGCCAGCTTTGTCCTCGCCGTCACCTCGCCGTGGTCGGCCGTGGTAAAACTTCAACTCCCCAGACGTCGGCACGTTGACCTTCCACTTCCTGACGGCGGCGACGGCCACCCGAGCGAGCCCCGTGAACGGGCTGCCCCGCACGGCCGACCGGCGGTAGTACCGCGTGCCGAGGAGCAGCGCCACGAGGCCGACCACGCTGGCGGCAGCGGAGATGCCGAACCCCAGCGTCCACGACACCGTGTCCTGGACGTAGACGATGACCGTTGACGCGAGCACGGAGGATGCGTACAAGAAGACGAAGAACCAGTTGAAGAGCACGTCCCGGTCGGCGGCGGAGTCGAACTGGTCGGCGCCCATGGTCGCCTGGTTGAACCGCGAGCCTGCGGCGCTCACGCACATCAGGAACACGCCGGCGTACAACGCAGCCATCTGCCCGGCCGATGCCGGCTCGCAGGGGCCGGCGCCGAGATGGCAAGGCGCTGGGCGGAGGCCGCTCAGGCTTGCCGTGAGGGTGAAGACAACCGAGGACTGCATGCGCGCGCGCGCATTAGTCTTGTCAGCAGCAAGTAGAGGAGCCTGTTGTGTTGTGTATTCTATCGAGAAAACACACGACTGTTATGGGCACTACTGAGTAGTCACGTACTGACCAGGACGGAGAAGGCCATGGAGATGGCGACGATAGGGTAGCAGCCGAAGAAGGCATCGGCGACGACGGCTCCGGCCACAGGGGCCAAGCTGAGGCAGCCGGCGACGATGTTGGCGATCTGAGCTGCGTCCACGCTCGGCACGTTGTACTCTTTGATCAGGTAGACCACTAGGTTGCTCAACACGCCGCTCGTCGCCACACCCAGACCCATCATCGCCGCTGCAACCATGACATGCGCACATGTAACACGCATGAATGGATCGATCGATTTAGATTCAATCGAGAGCAACAGCGAGAGAGACCTCCGAGGAAAGGGAAGGTGATCCATCCACCCTTCCTCCTCTGATCGCTCTGCGGCTGCTGCAGGGACTCGTGATCGACGCCCAGGCCTTGGCGAGGCAGTGCTCCTTCTTCTTGCGGCACGTTTGCTTCCATGCTGCTGCTCTCTCTCTCTCTCTCTCTCTCTCTCGTCGCGCTGGGAACTTGTATTGATGTGTCGCTTACTTAAGCACGGGTGCAGCGTGTCACACTACTAGCTATAGTACAGTGTAGATATGTAGACAGTGGAGTTGGCCACCCACATTGTCCTTTTCATCATAATTAAGAAAAAAACTGCCCCAGATATTTCGGGAGTAGCATTTATATTTCTTTCTGTAGGTTCGGATTGTATATTCAACGTTCACTCCTAAAAAGATTTCAAGGGACGGCCTCCAAATTAACAGAGACACGTGTTTTTAGGTACCTCTCTAGCGAAATAGCAGATTTTTCATTGAGACAAGACATCACCAAGGCTGTTGTAGTACTGGAATATTAGGACTATATAGTGCGAGTAGGAAAAGAAAAGAAAAATGTCGACTAGATGGATTGCTGGTATTTTCATGACGGGTGATACGATACCACTCGCCAGTGACGATAAGATTGGCACATTGTATGGGTGGAAGATCCATCCAAATTTCTTTGTAGAATTTTTTAATGAAAAGACATCTAAAATCATCGAGAAACTAGACTTGGTATCCTTTACCATATTCACTTCCTATATTCCCTTGCTGTTAGATGCTATTGTAATTCAGGAAGATACACGTCTATTAACTTTTTACATAGAGGCGGGCATACTAAAGTGATTGTCTTTATAAATAGTTGATTAACAGAGATAGTCGACTGAGAACGCTTACCGTCATCCAGGATGTCGCAGGAAATAGGCGATTAACAGATGTGGTCGTTATTGGTGTTTTTACCACCGGCAATAATTTTTGATTATATCATACTTAGGGGATACTAAGAAGGATAGCACGGGACATACATAAATTTATAGGGTGCCCTAGTGCATAAAAGTGTTCTAGTATCACTTGTGCACCGTAATTCACTACTACAAAAAAAACGTTTGTAGCAACGGAATAATTTTTTAGCGGCGGTTGGTGATAGAGCCACCCCTACAGTGAGCATGCTCGGGACCCACGAGACCAGCCGCCCCTACAAATGGCACGGTAGGGGCGGCTGATGATACGAGCCGCCCCTACAAATGGGTCGATTTGTAGGGGCGGCTCACTCATCAGCCGCTCCCGGTGTTGCGATTTATAGGGGCGGCTCACTCACCAGCCGCCCCAACAAATCACACTTATTCATCATTGATCATCATTAACAGTTGTGATTTTTCTTTTTAATCTCTGGATAAAATTTGTAACTAGTCTCTCCCTCATATTAACTCCAAATGTGATGATTTTTTTTCCTAAAATTTTCTAAAATTAGGCCCTATCAAGTTACTGTGTTGATTTGGTCAATCTTTTCGTTTGACAAAGTTTGAGCAATTCAAATTTTAAATTTAAAAAAATGACAAGTTCTAACAAGATTTTGAAAAATCAAATGATTTCAGCTGAAAAAGTGATGAATACCAAAGATGTATAACTCATCAAGATTTACAACTTTTATTTTGGTTATTTCTTCATCGGTCAAAGTGATAGTAAATATTGTTCACAAATCAACATGTCTCTCGTATAGTTCATGAAACTATGAGTGTTATGTGAATTTATGAATAATGTTTACTAACACTTTGTTAAATGAAGAAGTGACCAAAATAAAAGTTGTAGATAGTGATGAGTTCAACAACTTTTATGTTCACGACTTTTGTAGTTGAAATCATTTAAGGTTACAAAAACTTGTTTGAAGTTGTCATTTATTGAAATTCAAATTTTTAACTGTTCAAATTTTGTCAAATGAAAAGATAACCAAAATAAAAGTTGCAGATAGTGATGTGTTCAACAACTTTTATATTCATCACTTTTACAGCTAAAATTATTTAGTGGCTGAAAATCAGGTTTGAAGTTGTTATTTTCTGAAATTCAAAATTTAAATTGTCCAAAATTAGTGACAAAAATAGATGACCAGAATAAAATGATAGAGCATGATTTTAGAAAATTTTAGAAAAAAAACCATCATATTTGGAGTTAATATGTGGGAGAAAAACTACTTACAAGTTTCAGTCACAGATTAAAAAGAGAAATCATGCTTGTTCATCATTGATCATCATGAACAGTTGTGATTTTTCTTTTTAATCTTTGGGTAAAATTTATAACTAGTCTTTCTCCCTCATACTAACTACAAATGTGATGATTTTTTTCCTAAAATTTTCTAAAATAATGCCCTATCAAGTTACTGTGTTGATTTGGTCATTTTATTCGTTTGACAAAATTTGAGCAATTTTAATTTTTCAAATTAAAAAAAATGATAAGTTCTAACAAGATTTTGAAACACCAAATAATTTCAGCTGAAAAAGTGATGAATACTAAAGATGTATAACTTATCAAGATCTACAACTTTTATTTTGGTTATTTCCTCATCTGACAAAGTGATAGTAAACATCGTTCACAAATCAATGTCTCTTGTACAGTTCATGAAACTATGAGTGTTATGTGAATTTGTAAATCATGCTTACTAACACTTTATCAAATGAAAAAGTGGTCAAAATAAAAGTTGTAGATAGTGATGAGTTCAATAACTTTTATGGTAGATAGTGATCAGTTAAATAACTTTTATGTTCATGGCTTTTGTAGTTGAAATCATTTAATGTTTCAAAATCTTGTTTGAAGTTGTCATTCATTGTAATTCAAAATTTCAACTGTGTAATTTTGTCAAATGAAAAGATGACCAAAATAAAAGTTGTAGATAGTGATATGTTCAAACTTTTATATTCATCACCTTTACAGTTGAAATCATTTAGTGGTTGAAAATCAGGTTTAAAGTTGTTATTTTCTGAAATTCAAAATTTGAATTGTCCCAAATTAATGACAAAGATAGAAGACCGTAATAAAATCATAGAGCATGATTTTAGAAAATTTTAGGAAAAACCATCACATTTGGAGTTAGTACGAGGAACAAAAACTAGTTACAAGTTTTAGCCACAGATTAAAAAAGAAATCACACTTATTCATCATTGATCATCATTAACAGTTGTGATTTTTCTTTTTAATCTCTGGGTAAAATTTATAACTAGTCTTTCTCCCCCATACTAACTCCAACTGTGATGATTTTTTTCCTAAAATTTTCTAAAATCATGCCCTTTCAAGTTACTGTGTTGATTTGGTCATTCTTTTCCTTTGACAAAGTTTGAGCAATTCAAATTTTTAAATTGAAAAAATGACAAGTTGTCACAAGATTTTGAAACACCAAATGATTTCAGCTGAAAAAGTGATGAATACCAAAGATGTATAACTCATCAAGATATACAACTTTTATTTTGGTTATTTCTTCATCTGACAAAGTGATAGTAAACATCGTCTATAAATCAACATGTCTCTCGTATAGTTTATGAAACTATGAGTGTTATGTGAATTTGTGAATCATGTTTACTAATATTTTGTTAAATGAAGAAGTGACAAAAATAAAAGTTGTAGATAGCGATGAGTTCAACAACTTTTATGTTCACAACTTTTGTAGTTGAAACCATTTAAGGTTCCAAAAACTTGTTTGAAGTTGTTATTTATTGAAATTCAAAATTTGAACTGTTAAAATTTTGTCAAATGAAAAGATAACCAAAATAAAAGTTGCAGATAGTGATGTGTTCAACAACTTTTATATTCATCACCTTTACAGCTGAAATTATTTAGTGGCTGAAAATCAGGTTTAAAGTTGTCATTTTCTGAAATTCAAAATTTAAATTATCCAAAATTAGTGACAAAGATAGATGACCAGACTAAAATGATAGATCATGATTTTAGAAAATTTTAGAAAAGAAACCATCATATTTGGAGTTAATATGTGGGAGAAAAACTAGTTACAAGTTTCAGCTACAGATTAAAAAGAGAAATCACACTTGTTCATCATTGATCATCATGATCAGTTATGATTTTTCTTTTTAATCTTTGGGTAAAATTTGTAACTTGTCTTTCTCTCTCATACTAACTTCAAATGTGATGATTTTTCCCTAAAATTTTCCAAAAACATGCCCTATCAAGTTACTATGTTAATTTGGTCATTCTTTTCGTTTGATAAAGTTTGAGCAATTCAAAATTTTAAATTAAAAAAACGACAAGTTCTAACAAGATTTTGCAACATTAAATGATTTCAGCTGAAAAAGTGATGAATACCAAAGATGTATAACTCATCAAGATTTATAACTTTTATTTCGGTTATTTCTTCATCTGATAAAGTGATAGTAAACATCGTCCACAAATCAACATGTCTCTCGTATAATTCATGAAACTAAGAGTGTTATGTGAATTTGTGAATCATGTTTACTAACATTTTGTCAAATGAAGAAGTGACCAAAATAAAAGTTATAGATAGTGATGAGTTCAATAACTTTTATGTTCATGACTTTTGTAGTTGAAATCATTTAAGATTTTAAAATCTTATTTGAAGTTGCTATTTATTAAAATTCAAAATTTCAATTGTTCAAATTTTGTCAAATGAAAATATGACTAAAATAAAAGTTGTAGATAGTGATGTGTTTAATAACTTTTATATTCATCATTTTTACAGCTAAAATCATTTAGTGGTTGAAAATCAGGTTTAAAGTTGTCATTTTCTGAAATTCAAAATTTTAATTATACAAAATTAGTGACAAAGATAGAAGACCATAATAAAATGATAGAGCATGATTTTAGAAAATTTTAGAAAAAAAACCATTACATGTGGAGTTAGTATGAGGGAGAAAAACTAGTTACAAGTTTCAGCCACAGATTAAAAAGAGAAATCACACTTGTTCATCATTGATCATTATGAACAGTTATGATTTTTCTTTTTAATCTCTGGGTAAAATTTGTAACTAATCTTTCTCCCTCATATTAATTCAAAATGTGATGATTTTTTTCATAAAATTTTTAAAATCATGCCCTATCAAGTTATTGTGTTGATTTGGTCATTCTTTTTGTTTGACAAAGTTTGAGCAATTCAAAATTTCAAATTTAAAAAATGATAAGTTCTAACAAGATTTTGAAACA